TCCACTGCTGCCACTAGCACCCCCACCCCCGCTACCACCTCCACCGCCACCCCCACTCCCTCCGCCGCCTCCACCTCCACCGCCACCGCCCCCACTGGCCCCACCCGCTCCCTTGCCCCCCTTGCCCTTGCCAGAGCGGCGTCTCCCGCTAGGGGCAGACGCCGCACCGACCGACTCAAGACCAACGAGGTCGGCCGCAGCGGCAGAGGCGACAGAGGGCAGGAGAGGGGAAGGAGAACACCCCTCAAAGATGGGGGCGCGGGGGTCACCTCGAGAGGCTCCTACAGCAACTATGCTCTTCTCTGCTGCAAGGAGGGCCTTCTCGAGGCTGTCGACTGTGAGGGTGGTGGGACAGACCGCGAGGAAGTGGTCCCGGACTACACGAAGGGAGTCAGGGAGGCGAGTGACTAAGAAGTAGAGAGTGATGTACATGGGGGGGGGGTTCTTGGCGCAGAAGTCAGCAGGAAGCGCAGCGCGGTAGCGAGTGTCACTAGTGCGGAGGTGCGTGATGAGATCAGCGACAGTGGGAAAGGCGGCAAGGTCAGGGAAGAGGAAGGGGAGCATGAGGCGGCTCAGTGCAGCAATGGCAGGGGAGGAGTAGCGCGCAACTACAGCGTCGTACAAGGTCTGAGCACTCTTGTACTGGCTAAAGTGCGCGCGCTCAGCGGTAGGCAGGTGGCAACGCACAGCAAGACGTGCAGCAGCATCGCGCGTGGCCCACTGAGAGCGAACAGTGGCGTCAGCATCAGCAGCAGGGGCAGGGACAGCGCCAGAGGTGAGGTCAAAGAGAGACAGACCGTCGGCCCTGTCGCACTGTAAAAACAGCTGCAGGTCGTCGAGCTAGACCTCAAAGTCAATGGCTCGACCCTCACCGTCAAAAGCGAGGACACTGGGTGTAGCCATGACGACGACAGTGGAGCAGTGCAAGTAGTAGGGGAAGGGTACGCAGTGACAGCAGTGCAGTGCTCACCGGGCAGGGCAGGCCGGGCGGCTCGGGAGGAAGGTCGCCTTGCGAAACGGCCGCTAGGCTGCTTGGCGGCTCGGCTCCCGGGCGGCTCGGCTGCTGCTGGGCGGCTCGGCCGCTGCTGGGCGGCTCGGTGGCTGCTGGGCGGCTCAGCGGCTCCGGGCGGCGCGGCTGCTGCTGGGCGGCTCGGCGGCTCCGGGCGGCTCGGCTGCTGCTGGGCGGCTCGGCTGCTGCTGGGCGGCTCGGCGGCTCCTGGGCGGCTCGGCTGCTCCGGGCGGCTCGGCTGCTGCAGGTGGGCGGCTCGGCTGCTGCAGTCGGGCGGCGCGAGAGCAAGGGGCCGCGGGGCCGTTAGTGCTGGGGGGGCGGGGCCGCGAGATCAGGGGCGGCGGGGCCGTGAGCGCTGGGGCGGCGGGGCCGTGAGATCAGGGACGGCGGGGCCGCGGGCGCTGGGGCGGCGGGGCCGCGTATCAGGGGCGGCGGGGCCAGGAGCGTTGGGGCGGCGGGGCCGCGAGATCAGGGACGGCGGTGGCCGCGAGTGCTTGGGCGGCGGGGCCGCGTATCAGGGGCGGCGGGGCCGGGAGCGCTCGGGCGGCGGGGCCGCGAGATCAGGGACGGCGGGGGCCGCGAGCGCTTGGGCGGCGGGGCCGCGAGAGAAGAGGTGGCGGGGCCGCGTTCACTGGGTGGCGGGGCCGCGAGGGTAAGGCCGGCCGCTAGGGCGGCTCGGGGAAGGAGTGGCCCGAGGCGCGACTCGGGATGAGTGCGCTTCGGGCAGGAAAAAAAAGATTTCGAGTGGTGGGCCCTAGGCACAGTTCCCACAGGGGAACCTGCTCTATACCATGTGAAAATCTGAACGAGAGTGAATCAACTATGAATGAAGTGAGTACAAATATGAAACCCTAATTGGGTTGTACCCCCTATGGGATACCCCACTATAGCCTACACAAATAAGTAAGCTATAATGTTCTGACAAGTTGATGTAGTAGCGGAAGTGTCTAATAAAGAGTTTGTGAACCACCTTGCGCTAGTATCTGAGGGCAAAGTAAGTTGATTATAGCAAAGAGATACAAGATTATATATGAATACAGGGAATATGAAGAGACGCAGTTATAACTACTCTTGCTGTTGTGGTTCGATACAGTGACGACTCGGGCAATTGCTCTGTAACGAGTCAGTTGTGTGTCCTTGCTGTCGCGCTGTATTTGTCAGGTCAAAGGTCACTGACCTTTGACTTTCGCGTAACCTCCAGCGGTTACTTCAACCTCCGAGGGTTGACTCGCTGGTGCCTCGATATGCTTTGCTTCGCTTGTGCCTTAGTGTTTCGACACGACAGAGGCGCTTAGGAACGATTGTTTCCAACAACGGTAATGGACTGTGGTTGTCGCGCGACGGGCCTGGGACTGAGGTTGGGAAAAGTGTCGAAGCGGAGGCCCAGAGCGCGGGTTACCCGCCGAGCCGTGAGGTCGGGGTGCGGCGTGCGATGATGGCGGGCGGATTGTTGATGCGAGTGTTGCGAGTGGTAACGGTGCTGACTGTGGTGCTATAGTGATGTACGTGTTGAGCAGGGATGCGAAGTAAGGAAAATGAATTTTCCTTACAAATATACTGATGGGTGTGTTGTGGCACTTTAAAAACAATACCTAGAACCTTTCTCCATGCCTACTGTCACTCTTATATAGCTGCACGGATAACGCCTCCTACATTGAAACCCTTACTCTTCCTAACTAACGTTACTCTAAGCTATGGTTCCTACCTTGGCTCCTAAAGCTTCTCTAGCTACTATTTTGACAGTATTATCCAGTGCCTTCTAAATTCTAGTGAATAAAGGTTAAATTGACTATACCGATCAGGGTTTTTCCTGTGTTTTTTTTCTTCACATTTCACGTCTCGGATCATGTACTTGCCCCAAAGTTTTGTATAAAACGAATCCCCTTGTTTCAGTGTCAGAAATAACCTAGGGGTGGTGTGGTATTGATCGCGGTACAGTATCAGAAAATGTCACCCGAACCGTACTTTCGAATGATACCTGGGGTTGACTTAGGCAGAATTGTCCGCCACCGATTTTCCGCTCCGGCAATTACGGCGACAGACAATCGGATCGCGCACTGCATCACGCAAACGCCGTCATGCGCTGCGTCCGCCGATTTTATCGTGCTGCGCGTCGCTACTCTAAGTTACGCTCTTGATGACGTGCGGTGCCACGTACCGCGACGCCATGAAATGGCCGTATCCGTTGCGGCGACTGCGTCGTCGTAATTTACAGTAGCAGGCGACACCAGGTGCGCGCCGTAGCAGTGCGTGACGCAGCGCGAGATGGCTTGCGCGTAGCTCACGCCAGCAGCTCACGCGCGCCACTTGTCGCCCAACGGCCCACTGTTCGCCCGTTCGCCACTGCGCGCAGCTCGTGCGCGCAGCTCGTGCGCACAGCCCGTGCGCGCAGCTTGTGCGCGCAGCTCATGCGCACTACCAACGGCCTGCTCGCTCCCAGCCCGTGTACCCATCAGCGCCAAGGCCCTGCCCCCCGTCCTCCGCCCCCTTCGTTTTCCCCCTCCCCTCCCCTCATCTACTCTCCCAGGTTTTTTCCCCCTAAGACCAGAAATGGTAGGTCATAAATTGGTGAATTTGCTTCTACACGTACTAATCGCTCTGCCTTGGAGCCTTTGCTCGCTCTCCCTCTCTCGTCTCTCCTTCATCTCCCGAACGTCCTTCCTTTATCCCACTCTTCATGCCCCATGCCCCATTCCCCATGCTTTATGCCCATCTCTCGTGGTCGATTCCCCACCCCCACCCCCATCTCAAACCCCATACCTCATGCCTCATGCCCCATCACCCATCTCCATGCCCCATGCGCCATCACCCGTACCCCATGCCCCATCCCCGATGCTCCATGCTCCTTGCGCCATGCCCCATGCCGCACGACCTATCACACCATGCATCCCCGCAGGCGTCCCACTGGCGGCAGCACGAGCAAGGGGGTGAGTGCCTTCGCCTGGCGCTGCGGCTGCAGCAAGCACCACAAGAGCTTCGCTCTTCCCTTTCCTCATGCCCCATAACCATGCCTCATGTCTTACACTGCAGCTGCAGGGATCACCGGCTGTCATGGACCTGCCCTTCCCCTTCCTGCATGCCCCATCCCTTATGCACCTCCCCCCTCCCGTCCCGCTACGCCCCATGCATATGCCGTCAGGCTAACCATTGGCGGCACGGCAGCACGAGGAAGGGGGGGAGTGTGCTCGCTTTTCGCTGCAGCTGCAGGGAGCACCGGCTGTCATGAACCTGCCCTTCCCCTTCCATCATCCAGGTGCAGAGCGGTGCAGTCTAGTGCTTTGCTGTCATAGACCTGCCTGCCCTTCCCTTTCTTGCACCACTCCATCATCCAGGTGCTGTGCGATGCGGTGCTGTGCTGTGCGGTGCAGTGCTGTCCATCATAATGTCCATGTCACGCTGCTCATGCTCCACTGTTCACATTGCAATGACCACAACGCCCCACCTTGCTTCATCTCCTCGCCCCCCCCACCTCGTTCCCCATTGCCATGGCCCATGCCTGTCATGTGCCTGTCATGTGCCTATCATGTGCGTGTCATGTGCTTATCATGTGCGTATCATGTGCGTATCATGTGCTTATCATGTGCGTATGATGTGCGTATGATGTGCGTGTCATGTGCGTGTCATGTGCGTGTCATGTGCGTGTCATGTGCGTGTCATGTGCGTATCATGTGCGTGTCATGTGCGTATCATGTGCGTGTCATGTGCGTATCATGTGCGTGTCATGTGCGTGTCATGTGCGTGTCATGTGCGTGTCATGTGCGTGTCATGTGCGTATCATGTGCGTGTCATGTGCGTGTCATGTGCGTGTCATGTGTGTATCATGTGCGTATCATGTGCGTATCATGTGCGTATCATGTGCGTATCATGTGCGTATCATGTGCGTATCATGTGCGTATCATGTGCGTATCATGTGCGTATCATGTGCGTATCATGTGCGTATCATGTGCGTATCATGTGCGTATCATGTGCGTATCATGTGCGTATCATCTACTCATCTCCTGCACTGCCCTGGCAGGCTGCTCTCCCCCTCCTGATCTTCTACCCGCCACTGGTTGACAATCATCTGCCTGGCAAGGGCCTGCCTGCCTGCACCACACCCGCCCAGCAGCCCGTCCGCCCACCCTGCCTCTTGTGCGCCAACCACACTCCCCAACTTGCATCCTTCGCACGCGCGTGCACCCCACACTGCCCCCTCCTTCCCCTCTGGAGGGGCCTTGCAGTTCACTCGGCCGCTGCGCTGCTGCTGCACACGGTATGGCACGACGATTGAAGGGGCATCTGAAAACGAATGGGTATGGTATGGTGTGTGGGATATGGGAGTGAGGGAGTGAGGTATGGGTATGAGGAATAGCATGAGGAATGGGCATGAGGTACGGGCGAAAGGTAGGGGCGTGAGGTAAAGGGCGTGAGGTAAAGGGCGTGAGGTACGGTATGGTCTGATTTGTAAAACAACAAGGCAGACTATCACCACCCCCACCGCACTCCCCATCCCACCACACTCCCCACCCCCACTAACCCCACTCACCATCCGCTTCACCATCCTGCTCGCCTTCCACCTGCATACTCCAAAAGTCGGTCTCTCATCATTCTGCAGCCCTTCCCCCCCCTTCCTCCTCCCCCCTCTTCCCTCGTCACCACCAACCTCTCACCATCCTCCTCGCCCTCCCCCTACTCCCCGCACCCTCCTCCTCCCCTCCCTGTCACCACTCATACCCCGGGCCACATGCCTTCAGAAGCTGACGCATCCCCAGGGGCTGACACGGATTCAGGCATTGCAGCTGGGAGAGAGCAGAGAGGGGGAGCGGATCAGAGCACGACAGCGGAGAGGAGGGGCAGCAGCAGTCCTGGCGGTGTGGGCTGACCACTCGCCCCCCATGTGATTCGTGCGCATGCATGGGTGCGCCAATCACCCCCCCTTGCTCTGTGTCCAAGCCACGTGTGCCCAGCAATCATCTTGATGCACGTGCTTGGTGCACCGATGCCTTTGGTGCATCGATGTCTTTGGTGCATGCATGGGTGCGTTAATCACCCTCCCCCTCTTCTCCTTTGTTTCTAAGCCACATGTGCCCAGCAATCATCTTGCATTCTTTCTATCCAACCCACCTCCTTCCACGTCCTCTACCAGACTCTGTGCGCTGCCGCCTGTGTGGTCGCAGCTCCATCATCTCCCCTTTCTCCCCCATCTCCATTCATACCACTATCCTCCCCTATCCGTTGCTGTGCCTCACCCTTTCACACCTCCATGCATTGGGCTTTCTTCTCCCCCATCTCCATTCGTACCACTGTCATGCCCTATTGGTTGCCTTTCCTCATTCCATCACACCTCTATGTATGCATGCTCGCACGTAGGCGCATGTGACTTCACAAACCCATTGTCTTTCCTGCATGGCGAACAGGCAGGCTGGCAGGATGGCGGGCAGGCAGGCAGGCAGGCAGGCAGGCAAGCAGGCAAGCAGATAGGTAGGCAGGCCTCAATCTAAATATTGCACACATCACATATCAGGTCAGGTTATTGAGGAAAGGGTGTTGGAAGGACTTCGAAAAAAAATCGGAGCCCATTTGTTGCAAGTGGCATGGAAAGGCGGATTAAAGCCGGCGGCCCAAATTGTTCATGCTTTTAAAAGTTGACCAGAGGGAGTTTTTCTGGTGTGGGCTTTGGCGAGAGTTTCCGATTTCGTCTAGGTTCGTTTTTTTCGCGAGACCCAGCCAACCCTCGGTTTTCCCCCTGGTGAGTGAATCTGTCTTCGAAAGTCCCAAATTGCAAGTGCGTGACTTTCAAAAGCTTGGACACTCAACTTCGTCAAGTTTTAAAAGCTTGACCCTCGCGGCCCGCAATTTAGGACGCGGGCTTTAATATCACCCTAGGGAGGAGAGCTGACATGACATATGGTACTATCAATGTCAGGTCAAAACATATATTGTTCAATGGCTTCGCCCGGACTTGAACCGGAGACCTTCAGTGTGTTAGACTGACGTGATAACCAACTACACCACGAAACCGTGCTGAACAAAAATTATTTACTCATTTCAGTATCTCGATGTGCCACAGCTGTGCCATAATTTCACCCCTCTCCCCTCTCTTCCCCTTACCTTCTCTTCAGAACCCCTCACCACCTACCCACTGCACTCCCCGCCCTACCATGCCCCTCACCACGCACCGCCTCACACCATGCCTCTCACCATGCCTCTCACCATGCCTCTCACCATGCCTCTCACCATGCCTCTCACCATGCCTCTCACCATGCCTCTCATCATGCCTCTCACCATGCCTCTCACCATGCCTCTCACCATGCCTCTCACCATGCCTCTCACCATGCCTCTCACCATGCCTCTCACCATGCCTCTTACCATGCCTCTCACCACACACTTCATTGCACCTGCACCGGACAGGGAGGCGCTAGAAGTGGTGGCTCTGCCGGAGCTGAGAGTGCTGCTGCCTGGAGTGGACACGTGTCTGCCTGCTAAGTGGCAAAATACGCGTATTGCGTATATACGCGTGTCGTATATACGCACTCGTTTATACGCTATACGCAAAGGTCCCGAGACCCTAGATACGCTATTTCGGGCAGGTTAAAAAAACATCGGGCAGCTAAAATAAGACCCCCCTGCAATACTACTGGGGTAAGTTTCCACGGGGGTTGGATTTCCCGGTTTTTTTTCCCGATTTTTTTTTTTCACCAACATTACAATGACAACTACTCATCCCATACTACTACTACTACACATACTACCACTCACGCTAGTCCAGATCAATTAACCCACCTACGCATACTCATCCTCCAAAATGTCGTCTTCCCCCTCCTCCTCCTCCTCCTCGTCCCCCTCCATCACATTGTAGCCCTCGGGCACGGGAGGCTCCGGGATGTTCCCGAGCACCACACCCAGCATGACATCTGCACGGGAATGCCAGTTGCGCACAACGCTCCAGTTGTGCGCAACAAAAACCAAATCCCGGCACTTGGCAGAGCCAAGCCGGTTCCGGCGGGCCGTGTGCACCCCATCCCACGTTGACCATCCCCTCTCACATGGTGAAGCCGACACGGGCTGAGAGAGAGTCCTGATGGCTAGGGCCGCCAGCTTTGGTGCGTCAGTGCCGTGCCACTGCCACCACTTTACCATGTCATACTTGCCTTGCTTGACCAAGTTCCTCTGAGCAATTGCATCCCCCATCCCGAAGCTTCCCTTCATATCCAGAAATGCCCTCACCCCGTCTTGCAGTTCCATCAAAACCTCGCCAATGTCATCCCCATCATCCCCCTCCTTCCCGTAATTGCAGAGGTGCTCGGCGTGCTGAGTGATGTACGTTTTGAATACCATAGTGCACTCCGCGTCTGAGCCGAAGATGTCTTCATCCTGGTTCGCCGGGTTGAGAATTCTGCCCGCAACGTGCATGGGGCAGGCCAGGCTGTCGTCCCACCTGTTCTTCAGCAGGCGGCGGATGTTCACTTTGTCGGAGTAGCTCAGCTGCTCCTCATCCTCCTCCACCACTGTCCCCACATCCTCGGTCAACTGCAGCATCACGTCATACATCCGGCCCATCATCCCCTTGGCATCCCCATCGGTCTTACGCATTGCCATGAACGGGAGCTTCATCAGCTTGGAGAAAAACTCCGCCGTCCGCCACCACGCGTCATCAAGAACTTGTGACGCAAACTTATCCGCAGACTTCTTCCTATCCCCAACTGCCCAGCCCTTCCACACATCAGACACCACCATCTGTGCAAGTGACTGCCGCAGCTCACAGAGACGGGACACAACAATGTACTGTGTCTCGAATCAGGTTCCAGCCGGTTTCAGCGCCTGCAGCATCTTTGCACCCACTAGTCCGGACGAAGGAGCTGATCTCGCCCGCAGTGTCCACCACCTTGGCCCACGTCATCTTGCCGACGTCCTCCATGAAGAGGTCCAACACGTGGGTGGCGCATGGCACGTGTTGAATGTGCGGCCATTCCGCGATCAGCTCGTTGCACGCCACCGCGTAGTTGGACCCACCGTCCGTGCAGAACGCCACCACGTTATCTGGACCGACCTCCTCCACCACGGGCCTGAGGATGCTGGCGACATAACCGCCGGTTTTGGTCTCCATGCGACAGTCCACGCTGTCCTTGAACACCGCACCGCTCTCGTTGACGAGAAACACGTTCGCCTGAGGGCGACCGTTTCTTATCAGTCATCATATCAGAAGAAATTGTCACGCCGGTCCGCTTCCAGCTCGCCTTCACTCCAGAAAGCCCTCTGTCGATGTTCTCGCAACAGAGTCGCAAGCCCGCCCCGCCGATGAACGTCCTCGTCGGGGGGACGTATCCTGTGCCGGAGTCCCTAATGGCACAAACGGCGTTGATGAAGAGGGGGTGCTCCGCCACGCGCTCCGGGATTCGACACGCCGCGAACATCAGCGCCAACGCCTCGTGTGCATCGCGCTTCGCAGCTGCCGCATCCGTCTCCAAGTAGTCAGTAATGCGGCTCCTCTTTCCGCCGCTGGTGACTGACGCAATGGCATCCGATGTCGCCTGGCGGCGCTGATCCGCTGCTGCAGCCTTAGCCTCATACTTCTTCCGGATGGCAGCCCGTACTTCAGAGGGGGCTTCCTTGCATAGCGCCACTTCGCGGCGCCTCATCTTCCTCCAACTCGCCAAGTGCTGCGCGCAGCGGGTGGCGGCGCCAGAAAAGACATTGCAGCAGTACCTGCATTCGTATTGCTGCGATTTCCCCTCGTCCACCTTTATGCGGCGGAAATGCTTGAACACCTCGTGGTCGACATCGGGAAGGTAAACTCGCGCCGACTGAACAGGACTGTCCGTGCTGGTATTAGGAGGGGGAGTGGACGGGGTCGGGCTAACATCTGCAGAAGACATTCTAAAAAGGTCTGTGAAGGTACATGGGAGGATGCATTGACGAGAGAGAACAATACCTGATTGTGAAGTAGCGTGGGATGGAGTGGTGGGGAGAAGTTGAATTGGAGGGAGTTTGTAGGTCGAGAGCGGTACAAATTGGTGGAACTCCAATGTGGAATGTCAAGGGCATCGCGACTCCAAACATTGGAGCCACGTAACCCAACTCACAGTCGCGGGGCCGCGAATTGAAAGCACGGAAACCAACTCACCTCCATACATTGAAGCCACGTCCAGGCCAGGGTAGATCTCGGACGTGCATTTCGAGCACGGCATCTTCTTCGCCGTGAGAAAACGAGTCATAACCTGCCGAGCCACAACCTGCCAAGCCACAACCTTCTGAGCCACAACAACCTGGCGAGTCATAACCTGCCGAGCCACAACCTGCCGAGCCACAACCTGCCGAACCACAACCTGCCAAGCCACACCTTCCGAACTAAAACCTGCAGAACCACCACCTGCCGAACCACAATCGTCACGAGCCACAGCCACCGGAACCTGCAGGCGGTGCAGCAGGCGTGGCAGCAAGCGGGGCAGCAGCATTAGGCAGTGCAGCAGGTGGTGCAGCAGGCGGTGCAGCAGGTGGTGCAGCAGGCGGTGCAGCAGGCGTGGCAGCAGGCGGTGCAGCAGGCGTGGCAGTGCACTTCCATTGAGGCCCACGTGCTGCCCTCCCTTGCCTGCTCGCCACTCACCACCCCACCCCCACCCCGCTGCTGCGGTCGCCACTCCCCCCCACTTCTGCGCTCGCCACTCCTCCAACCTCTGCCCTCATCACTCCCCCCGCTGCTGCACTCGCTTTCCCGCCCTCCTCTGCCCTCACCACTCCCCCCGCTGCTGCACACGCCACCCCCCCACCTCTATTGCAGTGTGCCCCTGCACCTAACTGCACCACTCTCAACACCCATCCCCTCTCCATGCCCTTCCATACCCTGGTGCCGCAGCACCCCATGTGCCACTGCCCCATGTTGCTCTTCCTCCCCAATGCCGGCCCGCCTGCCTGCCCCTCATAGCGAGACACGCTGGTGAGTGGGTGGGAGCAAAAGAGGGAGGGAGGGGGGCTGGGTGGGTGGTATGCATGCTTAGTTGTGGAGGTAGGAAAAGGAGGTGAGGCACGCACCTGATGGCAGCAAGCGTCAGTCTGTCAGCAGATGGCATGGCTGGGGGTTGCAACACCCACTCTCTGCTAGTCCTCACATCATCGTGCTGACTCTTCCCGTCCGTCTACCCCCCTGTCTCCCCTCCGCCGGGTCCTCATGCTGCAGCACAGCCTGCCATCACGCATCACGGATTTCAGCCACGGGGCATGGCTGAGGGTTGCGAGCGCTCATCATGGACTTGAGCCAGAACGTATGAGAAGAGGCATGACAGGCAGGCGGCTGAATTACTCCGTCCCAGGCTCACATCATCATGCTTCCTCACCCATCTGCCCCCTGTTTGCCCGCGCCTGGACCCTCATGCTGCAGCACAGGCTCCCAGTGCGCATCACGGATAACAGCCACAAGGCAAGGCAGAGGGCCGCACCATCCGCTCCCTCCTCCTCCCTTCATCGCACTATTACACTGCCGAGCCTGCTGAGGCAGGAAGGCAGGGAGGAAAGGGGGGAGGCGGGGAGGCTGGGAGGCAGGGAGGCGGGGAGGCAGGGAGGTGGGGATTCGGCACAAGGGTGCACTCTCACCCTCCGCACTGCACCCACTGAGCCCTCTTGTATTGGTGCTCATGCATGTGTTAAAGAGTTGAGTGCATGAGCACCCCTGCCCAACTGCTTCTACTTCACTCTCACATTCCCTGCTATGCCTGCTCGTGCTGATGCTGATGCATGCGCTGCAGAGATGAGCGCATGGGCAACTGCCATGTCTGGATGCATGCATGCATGCATGCTTAGTTCTGCCCTCCCAGCCTATCAACCACACTCACTAGTGGTGAGCCGATGCTCATGCATTCGCTGCAGAGATGACTCATGCAGGAGTACCGTACCTGCCATGAGTGCAAGAGCAACTGCCATGAGTGCAGATACGGTATGTACCGGTATTGTATTGTACCCACCTACCCCTCTGTAATACTCCCACTTAACCCCCTCCTTATTCTCTCACCATGGACTGTTGTGATGCAGTATCTTACTTTGCAGTATGGCACAATTTGGTTATATACTCATGATATAGATACCGTACCGGTAGTGTTGTTTTTTTCATGCAAGCAATATTATTCACTTTTGTTTCTGGTGCTACCTGTACCAATGCTGCATATTCAAACTGCATGAAGGCACATCTGACACGCAGGAAATGTACCAATTGACCAAATTTTCCAGCCCGGCTCAAAAACAAAAGGAGCATGGCCATGAAATCTGCAGTTACCGTCACCCCCCGGATATACCCCCATGGGGGGCTATAATATAACATGTTTTTTTGAGGGGGTGGGCTTATAATATAGTAAATTTATAAGCGCCGGCGTTTATAATTTGTCAAATTTGAAATTTGTTTTTTAATATACCAAATCGAAGCATTCTCAAACGCGGATTCACCTGGGTCGAGAACGTTCGAAACTGTGCATGCATTGCGTGTGAAACAGCCAACAAGGCGTGGCTTCACGCCTTCCACGCCTTGTTGGCCAGGCCAGGTTCATCGAACGTGAACCTGGCCCATGCCAGTGCACACGTACCTCGCATCACAGCGGCCCAATCAGGGTTGCATGCGATCGTGGGCACGTCGTGGTTCAGCCACGGTGTGCCCATCAACAGCAAAATTCCCCGCCACCGAGGCAAGGAGCTGCCCAGCTCAGCTCCTCTGCGGGGAATCTTGACTGGGGCCACCCTTTTCCCGCAGAGGAGGCCGGGCCGCGAAAATGAAGGGGTCTCGGGCGAGGGCTTCATACAGCCCTCATTCTCGACTTTTGCCTTCAGTTTCTTTGTTCGTTTGGCCTGCCGTGGCCATGGCGGGCCTTCCAGGCACGCATTTCTTGTTCCGCCGCCATCCTGCTGCCAGAGAAAACACCCGCCGAGACACCTGTGACTACTCTCAATGGCAGTCGCGCCCTGCGCCCGTCCCTCCGTGTCAACCAGTAGCTCCTCCCGTTCCTCCCACTCCCCCAACTCCTCCTGCACCTCCCGCTCCCCCGGCGCCTCCGGTTCCTCCAGCTCCTCCGTCCCCTCCTGACCCGCCTGTGTTTTGTGCTCCACGTCAGGGGGTCCTGCAGCTTCTCCTCCCTCCTGGCTACTCGGCGTTTGACGCGTACCTGTCCGAGCCCGACCGCGCCGGTGGCGCATCGTCTTCCTCCGCACCGTCGCCACGCTGGGGAGCCCCGGCTGATTGCCCGTTGGACGAATCCGCGACTGGTGCGGAGGATGACGTGGAGTTTTGGGCTGCCGACGGTCTTCCAGAGCACCTGCCTATTCCCACCTTCCCCCCCCCCAATAAGAAACGGCCCCACCCTTCTCGCGAGAATCGCGATGCCCGTCCTCCCTCCCCCAGGCACAAGCCTTCAAGTCACAAGCGGCACTCTTACACATCGCAGGAGAAACTGCAGTGGATTCTCAAGCTTGAGTCCGGGCACATGAGCGTGCGGCAGATGTCTCGCCAAACCGGCATCTCCCGAAGGTCACTCGCAGAATGGAAGACCCGGAAGGCTGACCTGGAGGGCGCGCATGCTGCTCGCAAGCGTCTTCATGGGCGCGGAAGGAGCTCGTGGTATCGCGACATGGAAGCTGAAGTCTACAGGAGGTTTCTTGCCCACCGTAAAAAATGTCTCGCGGTCTCGATTGCTCGCCTACAGAAGTGGTCGCATGAGGTGATGAAAGAATTGCACCCACAGGTAAAGTGGTCCGGCTCGCAGCGGTGGACTGAGCGGTTTCGCCGCCGTTGGAATCTGACAACCCGAGCGAAGACCAGGGTCGGCCAGAAGCTTGCTGCCAGTGAGTTTTGTGGGAAATGGTTGCAGTTTAATGTGTACTGCTTTGTGTTGTTTGTCTCTTTATGTTTCACGGTTGAATTTTAACGCGTCATTAATACTCTCTTCTCTCTTTCCCTCCCACCCGTACTCCCAGACTGCGAGACTGACGTCAGGAATTTCTGGAAGTTCGTGCGTCACACCCGCCGCCAATACAAGATTGACCCGCAGTGGATAATAAACGCGGACCAGACACCACTGTGGCTCGAGATGCCTGCCGAACGCACAGTCGAGGAGGTGGGTCTGCGCTCTGTGCCTATCCGCAGCGGCGGCTATCAGAAGGAGCGAGTTACGGTGATGCTCGCCTGCACTGCCAGCGGTGAGAAGCTGAAGCCGTGGGTCTTCTTCAAACGGAAGACCCTGCCTAAAGGGGATTTCCCTTCAGGTGAGCATTAACACCCACTGCTGCATGTTTTTTTTTTTTTCTATGTCTACTGATGTTGTACGTGCGTTTATGGCTGTGCAGATGTTACGGTGTCCGTCCATCCCAACGGTTGGATGGACGCGGACGGAGTCATCGAGTGGCTCGACGGGGCAGTGAAGCCGTTCGTCCACCCCAAGTTCGGAGTGAGGCCCCGCAAAGCGATGCTCGTCTTGGATTCGTACCGCGGGCACCTGACTGCGGAGGTGAAGAAGAAGTTCGGGGAGCTGAACATCGTCCCTGCCGTTATCCCAGCTGGCTGCACCTCGGAGATTCAACCTCTGGACGTCGCGGTGAATCGCTCCTTCAAGGCATCCGTTCGCCAGCTCTACCAGGAGTGGTTCGAGAGCGAGGGGGTCGACACCTTGACAAAGAAAGGTGAGAGAGGCAGGCCATGCGTGTGCTGCTTTAACAGTTTGTAGCGGTGGCTGACTTTTGATTGTTTAAATTTTATGGCAGGCAACATCAAGAAGCCACCACCCGAGCTAACGCTCAAGTGGATATCAGCGGCTTGGAAGGCCGTGCCCAGGGACTTGATTCAACGGGCTTTCCTCACCTGTGGCATTAGTAACGCCCTGGATGGGTCCCAGGACAAGATGTGCCTGCAACACAGGCGCGACGAGCTTGAGGGCGACGAAATAGACATCGACGACGACATTGCAGCAGATGGCTTTTTCTGCAACAACGTAGAAGAACCAGAGTCGGACTCTGAGGCCGACCCGGATGATCCTACCGCAGCTGATGACTAGATTACGTAGATCTAGAAATTGTTGTAGCCTGTGAGACTCGTAGGTAGATTTAGAACTGTAATTAGAAAAAACTTTAGACAAATTGACTTTGTAATTAATTAGATGAAAATATACAATGTTAATGTGGTTAGTGAAGCGTGTAGAATTTTTTTTTTTAAAAAAGTGGCAGTTATAATGTGTAAGGTACAGGTATGCGGCTCTAATCCGTACGACTCTAGGGTATGCGCTTATAATCGAGGAGGGGATATAAGCGCCATATGCCAATTAGAAGCGCCAGGCGCTTATCCTAGGGTGGCGCTTATATCCGGGGGGTGACGGTACTAAGCACGCATTATGCTGATGGATAAGCCCTGGTCTTATGGAGGCTAGATAACCTGAACGCTATGAAGGTGCACAAGGAGAAATAGGTATGTACAGTAATCAAGCCCCCTTTAACGCCTTCTGCAGCAGTTCTACTGCCTTTTCTCTCTCCCCGTCATTATTTGATAACAAAATTCCCTGCACAGTATGTCACACAACACGTTACAAATTGTTGAAAACAGTCTGAAAGAGGTGAACATGCACTACCACGTTGACAGTTTCACATGTACATGCTTACAGGTTCAAAGGCTCCGGCCTTGAGTAGATTGTGCAGGCACATATCCAGGTACCCTTTTAGTTCCTGGACTTGGTATTTGTCTGCTGCTGCCAAGAGGTTCAATTCCTGCACAATCACACAGATAGAAGCAGCACAATTGTCTTCTCCCGAATCTATTCCTGGGCACTGAGACAAAAGCCTGCTGATTCTCACCTTCTGGGTCACAGTCTGTATGTGCAGCTCGCCTGTGTACATAAAAGTAAGTAGCTCATTCAAGGTTGCGCTGTTAACGTCCTTCATCTTAACATGCCGACTCTTTTCTTCCTGGAATCCGCTGCTGAACATTGTCGCGAAAACAGGGGACCTGCAGGGAAATTAACTCTTGCAATCTGTTATGAACCACTCAGAAAGTAAAATCGAAAGCAAGGAGAAAGGGCACTAACCATGTAGCAAGCACGCAGCGATGAGCAGGTACTTTAACCCCATCGCTTGTCTCCAGAGTGACATCACAAAAAGGCATGTCCAGCATGCCTTTCGTCTTCATCGAAAAAAGAGACCGCCTGTTTGCTTGGTCCTTGAATTTTTGTAGCTCACTGATTTGAGTCTTCAAGTTTTCGATTGTTGCATCCGATCGCTTACAGGGAATGCAGACAGCACACTGATAACAGCTGTTCGAGTACGTACCGCATATCTCGCATCTCCCCATTTTCTGGTAAGCAACAGAGAGCTTCAGAAACGAGCAAAACGTGAAGTCCCTCTGCGAAGGAAGAGGACGAAAATGTTCAGTCAATATGGCTGTCTGAATCTTGTTTCGTCAGGTCAAGACCCAGAACAGCGAGCATAGAGATCCTGGCCACATAAGCGATTCGAGTGATGTGCGACATGCGAAACAAGGTTCCGAAACATTTCGACGTGTCAGATGGCCCCGATGCACACCAGTGACGAGCATGCATAGTGGACGAAGCTACAGCGAGGAAGCTTTACCTGGTGATAGCACAGTGAAGAAGCTCACTTAGCACTAATCTGTTTGCTACTCTGGAGATTCCGAACCACACGCGGGTTCCATGGTTTCCATCACCCAACGCCATCACCGGACGAAAACCACTGCAAACTATTCAATCTCGATATGCAGAACCTTGCTTGCATGCCGTGGTGTTGAACCAAACCAACAGATGAGAAAACGTCTCTAGAGTAGCCTCTAGAGTGTCGCATCGCATCGCAAGCTCCAATGGAAGAACTCTGGTCTATGAACGAATGTGGATTCCTGAATGTGTAGTAGATCTGATGCGGTACCATCAGAGCTCCAGTGCACCAGTGATACACACAGTATACACATAACGAAGGTTTTCGCACACTGTTGGTGTATTGAGCTAAATGAATCTCAAATCGTGTCTAACTGCTCCTGATTTTCCCCGTGACATGGCTACGGTACTAGCAGATGAATTATGCGATCTAATATCACGTCAATTCCATTCCCTATGTTTCAAAACTCGGGTTGGAGGGAGGGATGTGGGTGGGGTTGGCTCAACAGGGCCCCTATACCCAGATGAAGACCCCATGGGTCCTAATCTACGAAAAGGGTTTCTCTATAGGTGGTCATGGTAGCAGGAATTAAAGTTTGTGGTACTATCCATGACTGTAAGATACACTAGCTATTTCTGGCGAAGGCTATAACATGACTGAGTCAAAACTACAGTGCTAAACAGGGAAGAAGACCCTCTACAGTTCATTATGTACATTCCTGCCATCTACTGCTGAGCTGCACCGATTCAGCTGATAAGGTCACAACAGCAAGAGGCTGAAGAAGCCTGAGAAACTGGCAAGCCCTGCTGCCTGCTCAGCCGGACGAGCAGCTGACTAAGCAGCTCCATGCTGCCTGCATAGAGCGTTTCTCCAAGGTGACACGAGACTTGCATTTGCAGTACTTGAGGCCAAGATGGCCATGCATCCCTTATTCCCTCCGCCCTCCATGCTCCCTTCATTCCCTCCCAGTGTCACGGCCAACGCTGCCATCCATCACACTTGGCTCCGCGGCTTCGTAACTTCCAAACTGTCTCAAAAGCGGAACCTGTTGCATTTCACAGTGCCCACCACAGCAACGCCAAGCAGGTCCCCTTCCTACCAGAATTGCAGGCACAGAGTGACACCCAGCAACGCACCTCAACTACCCCGCACCTAGAACTTCTTCTTCGGCTGCTGCGACCACCGCGGGCGCAGGTTGATCCCACTCGGATGAGGCGAAGCCCCCCCCACCATCGTGGCTGCTGCCACGTCATCCACTTGGTCTGGTGCCACGTCATCAAGCCCACTTGCAACCCCAGCTGGCAGCAGTGCAGCCGGAGGCAGAGCGCCGTGCAGCATGGCAGGTGGTGCTGCTGCTGCCTGCCTTGCCTGGCTGTTGGAGGGGCTCAACGCTCTGCCCAGACCCGCAAGGCCTGCTGTCAGCTGCTTGCTCCCCCACCACCCACTGCCCCCACCTCGCCCTGTCCCACCACTGCCAGCACCGCCTGCACTGGCAGCAGTGCCAGCAGCTGCACGCTCATCTGCTGCTGAGCCCGTGCTGAACTCCCTCTCAGCGTCCACCATCTCGAACTCACTGCTCGCTCCACTCCCACCACTCGCCCCATCGCTCTCCCCACCGTCCCCATCCGAATCCGAGTCTACATTTCTGTACCGCACTGCCTGCCTCTGCACGCTCCCTTGCTGCACCCTCTGCTCCTCCACCTCTGCCCTCTGCCCATCGCCCTCAGCCTCGTCCCCCAGAAGCCGTCTCTCATACCCCGGCCTCTGCACTCCCCCGTCACCCGCTACTGACCTCAGCTGCACTGCCTCCCCTCCGTACTTCTGCAGGTACTTCCTCCTTCCCCTCACCTCCTCCTGCTGCTCATCCCCCACCTTCCTCCTCTCTGCTCCATCCCCCTTCTCACTCCTCAGAACCTCAACTTGTCTCTCCCTCCTCTCCCTTTCCTCCCGCCTTTCACTCCCCTCCAACCCGCGCATTGCTGCTGACGCAGCAGCCTGTGCTGACAGGGACGCCAGGTAAGCAATGAGCTCCTCGAAGCGAGCACCAGTGTAGGCCACGCCAGCACGCCAGCAATCCACAGCCATGTCCCTCCCCCGATCCTCCAGGTGTGCCAAGTGGCGGTCGATGATTGGCTCGTGGCGGGAGAGCAGAGGTTGCAGCATCGACCCATACACAATTTCCGTTCCCTGAAAATGCGCGCGATGGTGGAAAGGGAGGGTGAGAGGACAGAGTGAGCAAGGGGGGAATGAGGGCATGACGAGGGGGACGCAGGGGAGCTAAGTGGAGGAGAAAGAGCATGGCAGAAGTGGCAAACACGAGCAGGCGAAGCAGCAGTGGAGACAGAGGAGAAACCAAAACCGCGGCAGAACTCTGCCCCTTAGCCACTGACCTGTGTGCGCGGGTGCCAGAGGTAGACGATGAAGGCAAGCTTGGCCTCCAGGTACAGCGGTACCCTGGTGGTGGGACACACAGGAGCACATACCAGCACAGCGGCATGTGTTAGGCGTTCGATTCACATGTAGCACACGCACACGCGTAAGTGTCCCATGCCCTATTGTCACATTCGTCACATGCGTCACATGCGTCACTGTCACATGCGTCAGTGTCACATGCGTCACTGTCAAATGCGTCACTGTCACATGCGTCACTGTCACATGCGTCTCTGTCACATGCGTCACTGTCACATGCGCCACTGTCACATGCGTCACTGCTGCATACTCCACGAGCACAGGGTCATTCCCAGGGAACACTTATGGGCGCAATGACTGGGAGGAAGATAAGAGCCACCATAAAACGGCGTGAAGGGGTGACGCGACGAGGGGGTTCAAAGCGACGTGAGGACTCACCAGTCCAGCAGCGGCGAGGCGAGGCCCTCGAGAAGCGCCAGCAGCGATAGTAGCACCCTGCGGTGGGGGAGGGGCGGTGGGGGAGGGGCGGTGGGGGAGGGGCGGTGGGAAGGGGCGATGGGGAGGGGTGATGGGGAGGGGCGGTGAATAGTGGCATAGGAATGGAATGGAATATGGTGGCAGGATAGACCTGGGATAACGGGCGAGGGAGGACGGGGTGGTGACGGCGTGCTGAGGAGGGAGCACGGACGCGGCGGAAGGGCAAGAGCGCAAGGAGCTATGGAATGGCTAACACGGCGACTCTAAGGAACCACGAGTGCAGACGGGCACCAACATTTCCCAGCATGGGGAGGTGCAGGTGGGCGATGAAGCGTGGGGATGGACGACGGGGGTGGAGGGAACGAGGGAAGCGTGAGGTGCAGCGCGCGGGGAAGGTGTGGGGGCAGCACGAGGAGGAGGCGCGGCGCAGTACGAGGGGAAGGCGCGGCGGGGGCAGCACGAGGGGAAGGCGCGCGGCGGGGGTAGCACGGACCAGAACTGGCAGAAGAAGAGGAGCTCGTGTAGATCGACTCGCCGTCGCTGCATGGCCTTGAAGCAGCGGTACGCCGGATACCCGTGGGCTGCCACCATGCTGCGAGGGGCGAGGGAGGGAGAAGGATAGAATCAAATGCGGAAAGCGAAAAAAGACGAAAAACTGGATTCGACGCGCTATGGTAAGAGTGCGGGCTTTAAAGCTGGGATAGGACGAGTGGAGGGAGAGGGGATGATGGTGTGTTTTGAGTCGACTCAAAACACACCTTGAGGGGAAAGGGGATGATAGTCCAGCGGTCGAGTATGCGGTCACTGTAAAGGCTACAATCAAATGTGGCGCCGCCAACAGGAGATTGGCGGAGGTAAGGTGCATGCTATAATTTGATCGATCCGTAACATAAACAAAGAAAATGAAAAAAAAGTCGACTCTAAAGCAGTTAAGCTGCTCTCCGTAGGAAGCAAGTTTCGATGCCTGAAAGCAGGCGAGAGGCTTTCAGCTATGACTTGTTTGATATGAAGTACGCGCCAGCTACGGCTGTCTCCGCTTGTATAGAAATTGGCAATTCCCTCACGAAAGGCGGAGTTTATAAGCGATGGTGGGCGTCAGGCTCGACAGCGAAGCGCGGCGTTGGTCAAAGGCGATTCGCTTACGTGGCAGCTGTCAGAAGTGGTCTCGGCAGCATGACGATAGCGACGAAGCGACAGACGATGAACGGAGTGAACTGAAGCTAAGAATCACTCTACTGCTCGTGGTCAAGAACGCAAAGCCAGCGCTAGTCGTATCGTAACCTCTTTTGGAATAGCCTCAAATGCAATCGACGCAGCGACACAACAGCGCACGACAATCTGGAATAGTCTATGAGACGAGAGAACGTAGATTGCTGCTTCCTCCTGAACAACAGTAGAAGAAGGTGGCTGAACGGGCCTACAGCACGGCAGCACTTCGAGTTTGTTCAGCGCAGGAATCCGCTCAACTCCACACCCGCGCAGGTCATGTCACTGGTTGCTGCTGGAGGCGGAACGCACTCCGCTGTACTGCAACTGCGGCGGAATAGATAATTCCTCAAATATGCAGCACCGTTGAGGGAAAGCGCCTCGAGAACCCACATTGGCGGGAAAAGCAACAGTTGCAAACATCTCCGTAACAAGACAGCTTGTAAGAGATGTAAAATCCTTACTTTAGAAGGTTAACAACATTCTTACATAGCACCTAATCTCATTGCATACAACAATAAACATTGGGACCCGGCCTTTGTTCGCTCGTTACCAATCCTCAGTATTCACTACAATGCGCGATATTCTCCAAACCATGCACTGCTGTAAAATGCCTAGTCGTTTGAGGAATAATCCGAGCCTCGTTACGAGCTCTGCATAGCCCAGCTCGTATCCGGGGAAAACCTTTGGTAGTCCTTCTCTCTACTTCGAGTTCGCTCAGCACAATCCACTCAACTCACTCGGTAAACATGTAAATGCAAAACAATGGTTAGCACAATACGGCATCTTTGTGTCAAATGCTATTATTTGTTATAGGCTGTAGTGAGGTGCCTTCTAGAGGGGATAACCCGCTTAGGGTTTCTATTTGTATCCAACTGCTGCCTAGTTTATTCATTCCGTTGCATTCACTTTCTGAGATGGTATCACGAGTAGGTTTAGCATCCTTGCCTAGCCTAGCCTACCTCGCGCCCTAGAGTGCCTCCGCGCCTTACGCGCCCTCCGTCACGCGCCCTCCGCGCCCTCGCGCCCTCTGCGCTCTAAGGCGTCTCCGCGCCTTACGCGCCCTTCGTCACGCGCCCTAGCCTCCCGTAACGCGCCCTCTGCGACCTCCGTGCCCTCTGTAACGTGCCCTCCGCGCCCTCCGTAACGCGCCATCCGCGCCTCCTCGCCTAGCCCTCCCGTACGCGCCCTCTACGCCCTCCGAATCGCGCCTCCGCCCCAGCCCGTCGCGTCGCCCGTGGCCCCTGCCCCAGCCTGTCGCGTCGCCCATGCGCCCTGCCCTAACCCGTCGCGTAGCCCCTTCGCCCTGCCCTAGCCCGTCGCGTAGCCCGTGCGCCCTGCCCCAGCCCGTCACGTCGCCCATGCGCCCTGCCCCAGCCCGTCACGTCGTCTGTGCGCACTGCCCCTAGCCCGTGCGCGCCCGTGCGCGCCCGTGCGCCCTGCCCCTAGCCCGCGCGTCGCCCTGCCCCTAGGCTGCGCGCCCCCGCAGGTATCGTGCCCAGCAGATAGCGCGCGCCCGCCCCGCGTATAGCGTGCCCTGCAGGCAGCGTGCCGCGCGGGTAGAGCGCCCCGCGGGTAGCGCACCCCACAGGCAGCACACTCTGCAGGCAGCGCTCCCGGCAGCACTTTAGCGCCATAAAATAAATAAATTAATTAAACCCTAAAAAGAAAAAGAAAAAGAAGGGGGGTTCAGGGTGGGGGGCTGCAACTGTCGCCTGCGTTCCTGCTTGCTGGACGACCTGCACAGTTCCCTACATACCGCAGCCGTCAGTACTGCAACCCCTACTATCGCACGTGCTTTCCACTGCCAGTGGCTTTACCAGCGGCAGCCGACAGCCACACTTACAGTCTCTAGCTCTAGCCGTTCGAGCTCCAGCCACTCCTAGCTCCAGCCGTTCTCGCTCCAGACGTTCTAGCTCCAGCCGTTTTCGCTCCTCGCTCCTAGCTCAGATTCCTCCATGCTCCGGTCGTTCCTCGCCTAGTATCACCTGGAGCTCCTAGGTCAGTTTGCTCCGTGCTCCAGCCGTTCCTCGCCTAGTCTCACCTGGCACTCCTAGTTGTTCTCGTTGTTTCACTGCAGCCGTCTCTAGCTCCTGTCGCTCCTAGCCTTTATCATGGCGTCCACTAGGGTCCCTCAGCAACAGTGGCACCCGCAGTAGCTGTGGCACCCTCAGCAGCCGTGGGGGCCTGGTGGTTCGGGTAGAGTTGGTTGCAGTAGTGGCCCAGCCAGCTAGGGGGCTCGTCGCGGTGGCCGCGACGTCGGCCCCTGCTAGTACCGGATCCTGACCGGCCCTGGTGCTGGCACTACCTACTAGCGTCCTGACCACTCTACAAAAGACTGCTACAGTCGCCTCGACGACCTCTACCCTGAGCATTTTGGGCTTGAGTCAGCTCCCCCGATCTGGCCCGGTCTGTTCCGTAGTGGTTACCCTGTGTTTGATATGTCTATGGATGCTGTTTATTCTGTCGCGTACAGATCTCTTGGCTTACGTGTACCTAGCTTAGGACCTTTGCCTGTTGCTAGTGTCGGTACTTGTGCCTTAAGTGTAGGTGCTTGTGTAGTCACTAGTCCAGCCGTGACGATTGCTGTTGCGTCGCTCTCCTTCACGCTGGACTCCGGCGCGTCTCAGTGCTTCTTCCGCAACCACACCACCGTCACATCTCTTTTGGCTCCAGTCCTAGTTGCGCTGGCTGATCATACTTCAGGACCAGCATTTGCCCGCAGCTCGACCACTCTCCCGTGCCCAGCTGTCCCCTCTGGTTTCCTCACTGGTCTCTACATCCCCTCGTTCTCTCAGAACTTGGTGGGTGTTGGATACCTTCAGGACTGGGGGATCACAGTCACTTTTCCTGTGCACGAGAGGACTGCGATCTGTATCGACTTTTCCACCGGGGCAGTTCTTGCCACATTCACTAGAGAGCCCCACTCAGGTCTCTTCGTCTCGCACGCTCCGCCCCCGCAAGTAGCTGCGTCTGGTCAGGTTGCTTCGTCCCCCCCGGTAGCAGATTCCGGTCAGTTTACTGCGTCCCCACCGGTTGCTGTGTCCGGTCAGGTTGCTGTGTCTGGTCTACTTGCTGCGTCTTGCTCCTGTCTGTTCCTAGCCCACCCAACCGTCTTGTGGAACCACCGCCTTGGCCACCCGTCGGTCCCTTGCTCCACCTTCCGCCCCTTGTGTCGCCGGCCGCCTGCGAGCCACTCTGCACTCCTCCTCCCTTCGTCCGGCCACTGCTCCCTTCCAGACTCTCCACTTGGACGTCTAGGGCCCTGCCCCGACGCAGGGATATGGGAGGGAGTGCTACTTTCTGACTACTCCAGGTACACCACAGTGTTTCCTCTCGCGAAGAAGTCCGAGGTGACTACTACACTGATACGGTGGATTCTGGCCACTGAAGGCACTCGTGATAGTCGTGTAAATTGTCTCCACTCCGGCAGTGGGGGTGAGTTTCGCTCTGGCATTCTTGCCGAGTTCTATAGCGAGCAGGGCATCATACAGTCCTGGACGCTTCCGGAGTCCCCACAGTAGAATGGGGATGCTGAGCGCCGCATTGGCTTAGTCATGGAGATCGCTCGTACGTCCATAATCCATGCCTGTGCGCCCCATTTCTGTGGCCCTACATGGTGCGCTACACCGCCCACGAGCTGAACCTCCAGCCGCGTGTCTCGCGGCCAGAGGCTTCACCGACCAGTCTTTGGACCGGGTCCCCTGGTGTTAAGTCGATCTTTCGTGTCTGGGGCTGCCTTGTACTCGTCAGCGATACCTCTGCAGACAAGATCTCGGCTCGCGCCATCCCCTATGTCTTCCTTGGTTTCCCGGTGGGTTCTCCCGAATACTCCTTTTATCACCCGCCCCTCCACCAGGTTCTCGACTCTCGTGATGTCATATTTGACGAGTTAGTGTCCTACTACACCAAGTACCCCTGTCGAGGTCTCTCGGTCCCCCCTCCTCCTCTTTTCCTCGCACCCTCTCCTCCTCCTGCTCTCGCTCCTCAGGTCCCCCCGCCCCACCCTGGTCCTGCCCCGTCAGGTGTGTCTCACGCTACCCCTCTCCCCTCGGTCGCGCGTCAGGTAGCGTCTCCCTCCCCGCAGTCCTCCTCACAGTCCCCTCAACAGCCTTTGACACTTCCGCGACAGGTTACTGTGGACTCAGGTGGTGTTGGAGCTGGAGGTGCTGCCGCTGGAGGTACTCGGGATGAGGGCGCTCATTCGAGAGGTGTTGGAGCTGGAGGTGCTGGCACTGGAGGTGCTAGCTCTGGGGATGTTGGAGCTGGCGGTGCTGGCACTGGCGGTGCTAGCTCTGGGGGTGTTGGAGCTGGAGGTGCTGGCACTGGAGGTGCTAGCTCTGGGGGTGTTGGAGCTGGAGGTGCTGGCACTAGAGGTGCTAGCTCTGGGGGTGTCGGAGGTGGAGGTACTGGCGCTGGCGGTGCTCGTACTGGGGACGGTGGAGCCGAGGGTGCCAACGCTGGAGGTAGTGGCACTGAGGAGACGGGAGCTAGCGGCTCGCCCCCACCCCGCTACTACACACGTCTCCAGGCTCTTCGCCGTCTTGAGCGCGAGGAGCAGGAGCGTTTGGAGTAGGAGAGGCAGCAACTGCGACAATTGGACCGGCAGGAGGAGCAGGCGCAGCAGCAGCAGCAACAGCCACCGCAACCCGTGGTCACACCAGTGAGTGGCCTTCGGGCCCTTGGTCTTCCCTCCCCTCCTCCTTTCCACCCGCAGTCGCTGCCCACTTACGATCCTATATTTCCTCCTCCAGACTCTTCTCTGGCTGTTTTCCCTCCTCTTCGGTCATAGTCACCTCCTCCTGTTGTCCCGCACGACTGGACCGCTCGTTGTCCCCTCCGTGCTTGTCCCTCGTCTCCTCTTGCCAACCTCTGCACTGCCTTGTTTCGTTCAAGTCCTCGTCATACTCCACCAGAGTCTGTTCTCCCGTCACCTCCTGCATCGTCTCTCACCGTCTCCTCTCACCCTATCACTGACTACTACCGTACGGCGCGTCCATTTGTCGCGCGTGCTCTCGCCTCTCTTGTCACCGACCCTCGTGCCTCTCCGTCGTCTGACTCCGCTCTCACAGTTGCTGTCACTGACTTTGCGTCCACCCGCCACCTTGACTTTGCCACGCATGTCATGGCTGCCCCGCCTGCCCGTCCTAAGGCCGCCGGGGGTGGGTTTGCCCTTGGCTGTGACGTCCTCGAGGACAGGTAGTTCGATCTGGAGTTCTCGGCAGCCGCTTCCCCCCTCTCTCCGTGCCATGTTGCTTTCCCTTGAGGGAGACCCCGACGCCCTTGACATACCGACTCCTCGCACGTACCGTGAGGCAGTGTCAGGGGAGTGGGCCTCTTAGTGGAAAGCGGCCATGGACTCAGAGTTGGCTTATTGGAGATCCACAGGCACCTACGTTGACGTAGTTCCCCCTCCCAAGGTGAACGTTGTCGATGGCATGTGGCTCTTCAATGTGAAACGGCCGCCTGGATCACCTCTTGTGTTCAAGGCGCGTTACGTGGCTAGGGGCTTCAGTCACCGTGAGGGAGTTGACTTCTTCCAGACCTTCGCCCCGACCCCGAAGATGACTACTCTTCGGGTGTTACTCCACGTAGCAGCACAGCGAGACTATGAGCTGCACTCTCTTGACTTCTCCACTGCTTTCCTCCAGGGCCGCTTACATGAGATCTGGCTGCACCGTCTTCCTGGTTTCACTGACACCTTCCCACCTGGGACTCAGTGGAGCTTGAGGCGGCCAGTCTACTGTCTCCGCCAGTTGCCCCGTGAGTGGCACGACACTCTGCACTCCACGCTTCGTGACCTAGGGTTTCATCCTTCCTCTGCTGACCCATCTCTGTTTGTTCACACTGCTGCACTCCCTTCTTTATCCTGGTCTACGTCGATGACCTGGTGTTTGCTACAGCAGACAGGGCAGCACTGGCGGAGGTGAAATCCAAACCGCAGAAGAGACACACGTGCACTGACCTCGGTGAGCTGCAGCGCTCCCTTGGCCTGCAGATCACCAGGGACAGAGCCGCTCGCACCATCACACTGGCTCAGTCACACATGGTGCAGCAGGTCTTTCGGCCGTTCGGGTTTCAGTTCTCCACCACACAGCCCACTCCTCTTGCCGTTGACCACTGTGTCACTGGCCCTTTTCTCGATGAGCCCTTTGAGTCTAGTGGTCCCCACGCAGAGCTTGTAGGCTGCCTCATGTACCTGATGACTTGTACTCGGTCGGATCTCGCCTTTCCCCTCAGCGTCTTCTATCGCTTTGTTGCGACTGGGAGACACCGTCCTATTCACTAGACAGCTGCCGTGAGGGTGGCGAAGTACCTGGCGACTACATCAGGCATGGGGCTTGTGCTTGGAGGGATACGGCCAGTTGAGTTGACCGGTCACTGCGACTCTTCCTACGCTGACGACGCGGAGACCGAGCGTTCGACTATGGATTACTATTTCAGTCTGGGTGCTGGTGCCGTGTCGTGGAGGTCCACACGGTCATCGTCTGTGGCTTCGTCCAGTGCAGAGGCAGAGATCTACGCTAGTGCCATGGCGGCACAGGAGCTCCGCTGGTTGACCTTCTTGCTCGCCGACCTTGGTAAGCAGCCTCGCTCTGTGCCGACCTTGTACGCTGACAACAAGGCCATGATCAATTTGTGTCAAGAGCCTCGAATGGAGAGCAGAGCGAAGCATATTGACGTGAGGTACCTTCTTCTGCGAGAGCTACAGCGACGCGGCCAGGCATGCTTGGACTTGGTGGCCTCAGAGGCCAACACTGCTGGCGTCTTCACCAAAGCCTTGGCGCCTGGTGACCACCACAGTTTCTGCGTGCAGCTAGGGCTTGTTGAGGTAGGCCCTCGCTTGCTGTAGTGTTACTCTTGTTGCTTGTTCTATTTGTCATTTCCCTTATATATATTGTACTCTCTTCAACTGGTCTTGTGGCCGCTTGCTTGTGCTCTGAATTTGTGTGGTGTCTTTGAGATCCACCCTGAGCTTGCTTTGCTTCTTGTCTTGACTAGTCTTGTGAGCGTTTGTTCACCCTGCTTGCTTAGACGCCCCTCACTTAGCCTATGGGGGTGTGTCAAATGCTATTATTTGTTATAGGCTGTAGTGAGGTGCCCTCTAGAGGGAATAACCCACTTAGGGTTTCTATTTGTATCCAACTGCTGCCTAGTAAATTCATTCCGTTGCATTCACTTTCTGAGAGTTTGCCACTTGCAGACTTTTTTTAATCAACGATATGTAATATATAAGTCCTCTTGGCTCATGGCCAGACCAGACCAGATCCCTCTTGGTTCTGGGGCAGGCTGGAAAACCAAACCAGTCCTGTCAACTTATGGAACCCCTCAGATTCATTCTGGGCTACACTGGTGCATCAGGGCTGTTTAGTGAAAAGCAGCTTTTGCCCTGATTCATCAGGGCTACACTGGTAAAGGTACCCTGATCTGTTAGTGGTATGTAAAGTCAGGTTGAATAATTTACAGCACAAAGGTGTTGGCCCGGCACACAAGAGGTCACCAGATCAATTTTGCTTACCGACGCCATTCCTTGCAGGTCCGAAGCGAAAGTCGATGGTTGAGTGCACTTGTCCCTGTTCGTTTTTCGCAGTACATCTCGCTTTAGTGAGAGACTCGACACTATCCTGAATGATCAGGGCTGAACCTACACCATTATACTGAATTGTCAGTACGATACATAACCACTGTACTGATTTTACAGGACAAGTATTTCCCTCATGCTGTTTTCTCAGGACAGGCCCACAACACCTATCCTGAATTCAGGAGATTCAGGATAAATTATCCTGATAATATAGGGCCTGTATGAGTATGAGTATAAATTCAGAACAATGCTGGTACGAAAATAGAACATTTCGTATGAGTCTAATACCACAATATAACACAACATCTACTCTGCCAGTCCACAGCAGTCCGTGCTGAGAAAACAGGGAGAGAGTGAGATATGTGGGGTTGCACAAGGATGTAGGGCAACACACGCCTGCCTACAATTATGGCAGCTGCTCATGCATGAAAAAGCATTAGCATTGGTATGAGCGGGCACAGTGGCGAAGGTGAGAGGGAGGTAGAAGCAGTTGGGCAGGGAGGGCAGCAGTAAGCATGCAGGTGGTCATGCACTCGGCTCTGCAGCGCATGCATCAGCACATGCGTCAGCATGAGCACTAGTGAGTGCGGTAGGGAACGTGAGAGTGAAGTAGAAGCAGTTGGGCAGGGAGGGCAGGGCGAGGCTGGCCATGGGATGGGCGAAGGGCATGCGGAAGGGGTTCAGACGCACCTGCCAGGAGAGACGAATGGAGAGGGGCAATGGGAGGGATACGGAGGGACAACAGAATGGGTGGTGAGAGCAGTGAGGCGTGCAGGTGGTGAGAGAGGAGAAGGGCGGGAGGGGAAGGCGAGGGTGGCCATGGGATATGCGAAGGGCATGCGGAAGGGGTTCAGACGCACATGCCATGGGGCGGGCAAGGAGAGGGGAGAGGGGTGGTGGGGTGAGTAGGAGGGGTGGGGAGGGATCGGAAGGGACAACAGAAGGGGTGGCGAGAGCAGTGAGGCGGTGGTAGTGGTGAGAGGAGAGAAGGGTAGGGAGGGGCAATGGGAGGAGAGGTGAGAAACCGGGGACATGAACCGTGGATTTGTTGTTGCTCAAAGAAAACGTTTGTTAGAATCTCATTCCTCTTGTATCGTGCATACATCCTATACTGCTTGGACAGAGTTGTGCACCTAAACCTAGCCTGGGCGCACAGAAAAGGAACTACCCTACTTGGGCTTCAGAAGCCAAACTTGGCCCAATGATTCGGCCCACCAAAGCTGGGTTGCGGAAGTTATTGAGGGGCTCATTCAACTTGGCTCACAATTCACGAAAAACGTTGAGATCTCCCAACAATATCCTCACCCAACCAATACTGGCCAGTTTCCCAACCAACCCAGCTTCCCATCTCACAAACACACACCCCTTCCCCTTCTTAGTCAATTAAATATAATCAGCAAATTCCTTCTCTTCCGCCCTCTTGAAGCCCTCCTACCTTGCTGATGACCAGGCTGCAGCACAGCACCACCAGAGGCCGCTGCAGCCCCTCCTTCGCCATTCCCTTGCACCTCCCCTCCCTAAAAATAATCTCCCCTGAAGCATCCTACCTCGCTGACGACAGGCTGCAGCACAGCACCACCAGAGGCCGCCGCTGCCCCTCCCGTGCCACCACCTTGCTGCACCTCAGCAGCAAGCGAGCAAAGCGCCTCGCGGGCCCTCTCTGCTGCCTCGTGGCTGAAGTCCGTGATGAATGCTGGCAGCCTGTGCTGCAGTATGGGGACCTGGTGGGGGTTAGGGGGGCGAGGCATGAGGGTCCAATGGCACCTCAGCAGCAAGCGAGCAAAGCGCCTCGCGGGCTCTCTCTGTTGCCTCGTGGCTGAAGTCCGTGACGAGCGCTGGCAGCCTCTGGCGCAGCATGAGGGTCTGGCGGGGGGAGGAAGCGGGGGGGCAGCATGATGCTGTGAGGACTGGCAGTGGCGCCTCCTTGCCTCGTTGCCTTCTTGATTCCATGCTTCTCCGGCTCTCTCTGCTGCCTCGTGGCTGAAGTCCGTCATGAGAGCTGGCAGCCCCCCGCACAGCATGAGGACCCGACGGGAGGGGAGAGATGAGACAGCATGGTGCTGTGAGGGGAGAGATGAGACAGCATGGTGCTGTGAGGGGAGAGATGAGACAGCATGGTGCTGTGAGGGGAGAGATGAGACAGCATGGTGCTGTGAGGGGAGAGATGAGACAGCATGGTGCTGTGAGGGGAGAGATGAGACAGCATGGTGCTGTGAGGGGAGAGATGAGACAGCATGGTGCTGTGAGGGGAGAGATGAGACAGCATGGTGCTGTGAGGGGAGAGATGAGACAGCATGGTGCTGTGAGGGGAGAGATGAGACAGCATGGTGCTGTGAGGGGAGAGATGAGACAGCATGGTGCTGTGAGGGGAGAGATGAGACAGCATGGTGCTGTGAGGGGAGAGATGAGACAGCATGGTGCTGTGAGGGCTGGCTGAGTCGCCTGTGGCGCTACCATGCCTCCCTGGCTCGCTGTGCGGCCTCGTGGCTGAGGGCCATGATGACTGATGGCAGCCCACTGCGCAGCATGAGGACCTGGCGGGAGGCCGAAGAGGGGGAGGGGGACAAGGTAGCACGATGATGTGAGGACTGGGAGGAAGGGGAGGGGGCACACGGTGCAGCCCTCTGTGCTGTCTCATGGCTGTAGTTCGTGATGAGCGCTGGCAGCCCACCGCGCAGCATGAGGACCTGCTTGGGGGCAGAGGGACGAGGCAGCACGATGGTGTAATGTAGGGAAGGGGAAAGAACCAGTGGTGCAGCCCCCCTTCATGCCTCGTGGCTGAAGTCTGTGATAAGCGCTGGCAACCCCCTTGGTGTAGCATGAAGGTCTGGTGGAGGATAGACAGGATTCAGAGGGTCGAGATGAGGCAGCACGACGATGTGATGACTGGGAGGAAAGGGAGGGAGCAGGTGGTGCAGCCACCCTTCATGCCTCGTGGCTGAAGTCTGTGATAAGCGCTGGCAACCCCTGGTGTAGCATGAGGACCCTGGCAGGGGGCAGAGCAGAGGGGTCAAGTGGTCTAGCACGGACCCCTCTCTACTGTCTCATGGCTGAAGTTCGTGATCAGCGCTGGCAGCCCCTGCTGCAGTGTGAGGAGCTGGGGGGAGGGAGAAGACGGGGACAGCATGAGCTGACGCAGAGGAGCGGTGGTGCAGTGCAGCCCCCTGTCATGCCTTGTGGCACCTTCCTGCCTCCCGCCCTCCCTGGCTCTCTGTGCTGCCTCGTGGCTGTAACCCGTGATCAGCGCTGGCACCTTGCAGGAGAGGGGGGACGGGGCAGCACGATGCTGTGAGTACTGGCTGTGCTGCCTCGTGGCTGTGGGCCGTGATTAGTGCTGGCAGCTTCCACTGCAGCAAGAGGGTCTGGCAGGCGGGGAGACAGGGCGCAGAGGGGCAAGATGAGACAGCGTGAGGACTGGGTGGGAGCGTGTGCTGCAGCCCCCAGTCATGCCATACGCTTGCTGCAGTCAGGTGCGCGTCTCACCTCCTTTTCCTACCTCCACAACTTAGCGTGCATACCACCCACCCAGCCCCCCTCCCTCCCTCTTTTTCTCGCACTCACCAGCGTGTCTCGCCAGGAGGGGAAGGCAGGCAGGCCCGCGTTGGGAAGGAACAGCAGCGTGGGGCAGTGGCAGGACCGAAGCTGCTGATGGGATGACTGGGGGAGATGCGAACGCTGCTGGGGCTGGTCGCTGTGAGGGAGAGAGGTCGGGTGGTGAGGGCGGCGTAGTGAGGTGCAAGGGCTGCAAGGGCGCATTGCAACAGTGATGGGTGGAGTGGCAAGCGCGGAAGTGGGGGCGGTGGTGAGTGGCGAGCAGGCAAGGGAGGGCAGCACGTGGTGGTAGAGGCCGCGGTGGAAGTGCACTGCTACGCCTGCTGCCCCTCCTGCTGTTTCTGGTGGTTGTGGCCCGGTAATTTGTGGTTCGGCAGGTTGTGGCTCGGCTGGTTGTGGTTCGGCAGGTTGTGGCTCGGCTGGTTGTGGTTCGGCAGGTTGTGGCTCGGCTGATTGTGGTTCGGCAGGTTGTGGCTCGGCTGGTTGTGGCTCGCGGGGCTCAAAGTCGGGAGGATGCTGAAGGAGTATTCGCTTGCCGTGCCTGAGGGTGTGGCGCGGCGAGGGCAGTGGGGAGGTGTAGTGCGGGGGCAGTGGGGAGGTGTAGTGAGAGGGCAGTGGGGAGGTGTGGTGTGAGGGCAGTGGGGATGGCAGAGGATGTGAGGATGAGGAGTTAAGGCATGGAGATGGGTGGCACGTGGAGCAAACACGTAGGGCATACGGGTGCATGGCGCAAGGAGTGAACCTACAGAGATTGGGCTGAGGATGAAGCAAGAAGAAGAGGAAAGGACGGCCACACATGCATCGAATGTCGCCCCTCAATCCTCTCCCCCCAGGCCACTCCCCCCAGAGCACTCCCCGTAAGGCAACCCCCCCAGGGAGCTCTCCCCAAGCCACTCCCCCCAAACCATTCCCCCAAGGGCACTCCCCACAGGACACTCCCCTCAAGGCAACCCCCCCAGGGAGCTCTCCCCAAGCCACTCCCCCCAAACCATTCCCCCAAGGGCACTCCCCACAGGACACTCCCCTCAAGGCAACCCCCCCAGGGAGCTCTCCCCAAGCGTCACTCCATCGAGCTCCAAAGATGGGTCTCACATGTGTGCGGGTATGTTGGGGCCAATAAGGTGAAGACACATGTCCACTCTGGGCAGGAGCACTCGCAGCTCTGCCAGTGCGGCTGGTTCTTGAGCCTCCCTGTCTGCCCCTGCAGGTGCAGTGCATGGTAAGAAACATGGTGAGAAGCAGTGTGTGGTGAGAGGCATGCCAGGGCGGGAAGTGCAAGGGTGGTTGGTGAGGGGTTTGGGGGGTGGGAAAAGGTTGTGGTAAGGATATAGGAAATGATGTAGTTCATCCATTACCATCGGTTTCGTGGTGTAGTTGGTTATCACGTCAGTCTAACACACTGAAGGTCTCCGGTTCAAGTCCGGGCGAAGCCATACTTCAATCTCTGTTTTCGCTCGATGTGGCCGCCGTGTTCTTTTCCATTCCTCTCCAGGGTGAGGATTTTCCACCTTTTTGCAAGTACTGGGCTCCAATCCATTTCAAAATCCTTTCAACACCCTTCCCTCAATAACCTGACCTGACATGCCATCTGTGCATTATTTGTATTGAGGACTGCCTGCGTATCTGTTTGCCTGCCTGCTTATTTGATTCACTGCCTGCGTGCCTGCCTGCCTGTTTGCCTGCCTGCCTGACTGACTGCCTCCATCTTGCCTGCCTGCCAGCCTTCTTTTAGCAATGCAGGGCAGGCAGTGGGGTTGTGATGTCACATGCGCCTATGCGTGAGAATGCATCCATAGAGGTGTGCCGGAGTGAGGCAAGGCAACCGATGGAGGGGGATAGTGGTACGAATGGAGACGGGGGAGAAGAGGGAGATGATGGACGACACAGCCGACAGCACACAGAGTCTAGTATGGGGCACAGATGGTATAGCAGTGGATGGGAAGAAAGCAAGCTGATTGTTGGGCATATGTGGTTCAGAAACAGAGGAAAGAGAGGGGATTGGGGCACCGGTGGATTCGCACCAACCACGTGGATGCAGAGGGAAGAACGCTTGACCAGCCCACAACAACTCTGGCATTGATGGTGCCGCTGCCCCTCTGCACATGTACGCTGCACCTGTCCCTCTTGTCCCTCTTGTCCCTCTTGTCCCTCCCTCCGCTCCCTCCCAGCTGCAGTGTAAGAGGGCGTGTGCTCCGGGTCCGAGGCAAGAGTGGTGGCAGGGAAGGCAGGAGGAGGGGGTGGGGCGGGCTGGTGGAGCAGGTGGAGGGCGAGGAGGATGGTGAGTGGCTGGTGGGTGGGGGGAGAGAGGGAGGTGGGCAAGGGGAAAGATGGAAAATGGTGAGCGGCTGGTGTGGGGGGGAGTGGGCAAGCGGGAGTTTTGGGGATGGGGGGTGCAATGGGGTGGGGTGGGGAGTGTGGTGAGACGAGGAGTGTGGTGGGTGTGGTGGGATGAGGAGTGTGGTGGGATGAGGAGTGTGGTGGGATGAGAAGTGTGGTGGGATGAGGAGTGTGGTGGGATGAGGAGTGTGGTGGGATGAGGAGTGTGGTGGGATGAGGAGTGTGGTGGGATGAGGAGTGTGGTGGGATGAGAAGTGTGGTGGGATGGTGAATGCATGAATCGTTGTCACCATCGCTCTTGAACACAAGGAACGATTTCCTCACACACCAGACCAAACCATACCTCACACCCGTACCTCATGCCCATACCGTGTGCAGCAGCAGCGCAGCGGGCGAGTGGAGGGGAAGGCCCCTCCAGAGGTAGTAGTCGCTCCAGGCGAGCGGGGAGAAGGGGGGAGGCGGGATGGAAGGGGGCTGTGTGGGGTGCACGCGCGGGGAAAGAGAGGGAGACGTTGGGGGTGCAGGTGCAGCACGGGCGGCGGAAGGGGCTGATGGGCTGCTGGGAGAGAGTGCAGCAAGCTGGCCCTGGTCAGTGGCGGGTACAAGCTCAGGAGCGGAAGCGCATCCTGCAGGCAGCACGAGAGGTGAAAAAAGAAGCAATATTGTGTTTGAAAAGCGAGTATGACTAGGGCAAGAGAATGAGCTTGGAGAGCAACAGAGGAGGCGAAGGAAGAAAATCAGCAGAGAGGGTGAGATGTGAAGGCATGGGAGAGGAAACAGGGACCAACAGTGAGAGAGTAGAAGAGGGCGGGAGAGAATGGGAGAGGGTGGGGAGTGGGAAGGAGCCTTACGGACCACAGAGGGCAGCGTAGGGTCCGCAGGCATGCAGGTGGCGGGATGAGAGGAAGGAGCACACGGTGTGACGCCCCTGCTCCACCTGCATCAACCATGCAACACACTCGCAGAGGGCGGAGAGGGTGGGAGAGGGAGGGAGTGGGCGCCTTGCAGGCACCAGACGGCAGTGTAGGGTCAGTGGGCTCGCATGGAGGGAGGAGGAGAGGAAGGAGCACACGGTGTGACGCCCCTGCTCCACATGCACCCCATATGGATGTGACAGACAGATGAAATGCACCCCACATGCAGGTGGCAGGGAAGGTGGAGAGTGCAGGAAGGGGGATGGCACGTCCCAGCAGCACCGCACCGCACCGCACAGCACAGCACAGCACAGCACATCACAGAACAGCACCTGGATGACAGAATCGTGCAGGAAAGGAAAGGGCAGGTCGAGCACAGCCGGTGCTTTCTGCAGCTGCAGTGAAAAGCGGGCGCACTCGCCCCCCTGCTCGTGCCGCCGCCAGTGGGACGCCTGAAGGGAAGCACGGGGCGTGAGTGAAGGAGGAAGGGACATGGGGCTGGGGAAAAGGGATAGACCAGGCGAGCGCATACCCCTACTGCTCGTGCTGCTGCCAGTGCGCCTCCTGAGGGGATGGCCTGTACGGCATCGGGTGTGGAGGTCGCGGCATGGGGCATGGGGCATACATGTGAGATGGGGGAGCGGGCATGGGACACAGAGCATGGGGCATACATGTGAGATGGGGGAGGGCATGGGACACGGAGCATGGGACATGCCGAATGGGGCATCGGACATGGGGTATGGGGCATGGGGTGGGGCATGAGACATGGGACATGGGACATGGGGCATGTGGTTTGGGGAATGGGGCATGGGGTGGGGCATGAGACATGGGACATGGGGCATGGTGTATGGGGCATGATTATGGGGCACGTGGTTTGGGGCATGGGGCATGGGGTATGGGGCATGGGGTATGGGGCATGGGGTATGGGCCAAGAGTCACGGGGTACGGGGAATGGGGCATAGGGCAACGGGAATGAGGCGTGGGGCATGGGTGATGGGGCAAAGGAAGGACCGTATGGGAGAGGGGGAGAGAAGCGGGGGAAGGAGGAAGGGGAGGAGAGGGGCAGGGAAAAGGAGAGAGGGGCAGGGAGAAGGGAGAGGAGAACCCTATCAGGGCCTCGCGGCAGCGCTGTGGTGGGGGAAGCCACGTGCGCGACGAGGGCCTTTGGCGCTCAGCACGGGCTTGGGGCGAACGGGCGGCTGGTAGCGCGCATGAGCTGCGCGCATGAGCATGAGCTGCGCGCATGAGCATGAGCTGCGCGCATGAGCATGAGCTGCGCGCATGAGCATGAGCTGCGCGCATGAGCATGAGTTGCGCGCATGAGCTGTGCGCGAAGAGGGCCTTGGAGCGCAAGCCAGTGAACGAACGGCTCGGGGCGAACTGTAAAATTGGATGGCGGGTCATCGGCCGGCTGGTGGCGGACATGAGCCGCGCGCATGACATCTCGCGCTGCGCGGGCCTGGGTGCTACGGCACGCACCTGGTGTCGCCTGCTACAGTAAATGACGACGCCGCACTCGCCGCAACGAATACGGCCGTCGCATGGCGACGCGCACACGTGGCACTGCCACGTCATCGAGATCGCAACTCAGAGTAGCGGCGGCGCAGCACTATGCAAGCGGCCGCAGTGCATAACGGCAAGTCGATCTAGTAAGCGAGCGCGATCCGTTTGCCTGTCGCCCGAAACAACTGTGCGAAAGACCAGTGGCGCGAAATCCTAGCCGTGTTCTGAACCCGAGTTACTTCCTGGTGTCATCCCTGTGCGCCACTCGTGTCACGTTGTGAGGGCGGGTCACGTTGTTTCGTCGTACAGTAAAGGAGGGTACGGATCGGGGGACAATGCCTCAGACGGATCTATGCTGGAACCATGTGAGTTTCTTTTGACACCAAAATGAGTGCTCTTCACACGGAAAAATGAGTTACAAAATGGACCACGCGACAGCGATTTTCTTCGCGAGGTGTTGTGTGCAAGCAAAGCAAGCAAAGCACCGCACATAGGGTTCGCAAACAAACGGCTTGGTCATGATGCGAATTGCGTTACGTCTCACATGTCGTATGACTGGGTTGTTCAGACGCCATTCGAAGTCGCACACCTAGTCGCAAGCCAAGCCAAGGGGGTTTGGGGTTGAGAATAGTGATTTCCACTAGGGGCAACACTAGGGCTGCCGCACCGCACTTGCAAGGCGTGTGTCACAAGGAATACCAAGCAAGCAGGCGAGTTCATTCTTGTGTCATTTCAGCTGCATACAAGAACCGTTTCTGGTTTGAGGAATTGGGCATGTAAGGGCGTATCACCTCGAACGTTCAAAGTGGCTTGTTCGAACAAGCACCGTACTTAACTTAACCGCTTAAATTTTTAAACCGTATTATACCAGCGCCAACTCCCAGAATCTTGGAACTCGAACGGCTGGTTACCGCCCGAGGTGACACGCCCTAAGAAATGCTCCAGCGTTTCATGGGAGGTCGCTAATTTACGGATGCGACTTCGTCAGGAATGTTGGCCTGTCGCAGCCACGCAGAATCGCATAACAATCCACCAAGAAAACTGGGTCTCCCTTCATTCCCACCCTCGCCAACCTCCCACTATATTTCTCCCTCTAGTTTCATTTCCTAGCGTTCTTCCCATTGATAGTCGTTTCTTCATTTTTGTCGTCTGCACTCGCGCGGTAACAGGAGCTTTTTGGCTTAACAGTGTACATATATCACGTGTTTCTACTGTACCTTAATCGGTGTACTCGGCGCTAAACACACAGCGATAAAGACTAAACTATTTGAAATCTGCCAAAAACGCAATTTCCCTTTCCGCGATGTGGAAGCTCCGCACCGCGATGGCAACGGACGGATGTCCCTTTCCGCGATGGGGATGCATCATTCGGCTCGGCTCACTTACCATTCTAACGTGTCTCGTCGTGGTTTCTCCAGTCCACTGTGTCCCCTTTGCCGCCTCCCAAGGTTTGTCCTTGTCGAGGGAAATGATTGGCCTAGTAGGCCGCCCCCCCTCACCTCCAATCTGCGCGTCTTTCCTGCGAGTTTCTCTGAAAATCTGAAATTAACAGACACCCAGAATTACTACCAGCGTAACACAGCGGCTCCAAGGGTTTCAGGCTGCCGCATCCCAGAGGATTACGGAAACTCGCACACCACGAACGCGGGGCTTATAATCCTCTACCAGTTCACAAGCAGAACTAGTAGCAAATCTAATGTTGAATAACACACTAACAACAAGATGGCGACGCTATCATATGTGACGCATGCTTGCCAAACCCTAATATCCGCCAATCTCAAGTTAATATCCGCCAATCTCAAGTTTGTAACTGCCAACATCGGCCCCCAGAGGCGTTTTTTGTTCGTTTATAGATGCCGTCTCATATTTTCAAGCGTTTTACATTGGGTTGGAAAACCTATGGGCGAAACCCTCTTCTCAAGGCCAACACCGCCAACACAATGCCTCAGGCGGGGTTGGATCACATCCGAACCTAATTGGACAGGTTTGGCAAGATTGTGTTGGGGTGGTTTGCCTCTGCCCTAGTGACTACCGACCTAAGCGCTTGACCTAGGGACGGTAGCGCAATGCTAGGAACGGTGCAAAAAGGCATCCTAAGGTGGGGAACCTACAGCTAGAACGGTGGGGCTGCATGCTAAGGAGCTAAGGAAGGAAGGCGAAGAAAGCGGGAAGAAACGGAATGAAGAAAGATGAGGGATCGGCAATTGTCGATAAGACATTTGCCGTAGCCTAGAATGTCCACCGCAACCGAACCGTGTTCGGTGCTGATGGTCACAAGAGGGTTTCGATACCGGTGTCAGTTACCGAATTCAATTCCCTTTCTTTTCCCCATGTTATGCCCTTTCATCCCCCCCCGCAGGCCCTTTCATTCCCACCTGCTGGGCCCTTTCATTCCCCCATACTAGGCCCTGTATCCCCCGCTATGCCCTATTCATTTTTACCTGCTAGGCCCTTTCAGCCCCTCCTGCTAGGCCTTTTCAGCCCCCTCTGCTAGTTACTTTCATCCCCCGCTGCTGGGCCCTTTGATTTCCTCCTGCTAGCCCGTTTCATTTCCACCAGCTAGCCCTTTCATTTCCCCGAGCTAGGCCCTTTCATTCCCCCCAGCTAGGCCCTTTCATTCCCCCCAGCGAGGCCCTTTCATTCCCCCCATCTAGGCCCTTTCATTCCCCCCAGCTAGGCCTTTTCATTCCCCCCAGCTAGGCCCTTTCACTCCCCCCCAGCTAGGCCCTTGCATTCCCCCCAGCTAGGCCCTTTCATTCCCCCCAGCTAGGCCCTTTCATTCCCCCCAGCTAGGCCCTTTCATTCCCCCCAGCTAGGCCCTTTCATTCCCCCCAGCTAGGCACTTTCATTCCCCCCTGCTACGCCTTTTCATCCCCCCCTGCTGGACCCTTTCATCCCTCCCTGCTAGGCCCTGCCCTTTTATGACCCGCTGCTATGCCCTTATTATTGTCACCTGCTTCGCCCTTTCATTCCCCCTCTGCAAGGCTCATCGCCCATTCGCTTTCACCTGCTAGGCCCTTTCATTTCCCCCTGCCAGGCCCTTCCTCCCACCCCCACCTCCCCCCCCCCTTCCCCGGCCCGCCCGCCCTGCCCCTCGCCCTGCTAGGACCTTCCATCCCCCCCCGGCTAGGCCCTTTCACCCTTCCCTTTCATCCTCTTTCTTTTCACCTGCTACGCCCTTTATTCCCTCCCCACTAGGCTCTTTCATCCCCCTCTGGGTTTGTGCGTTGTGATACCAAGTTTGGGTAATTTCCAACCAACCCGAACCAACCTGGCCCATCTTTGGTTCACTTTGGCGACAAACCCAGGGTTACCGGATTTCAAGCGTTTCACACTTCGTTGGGAACACATAAACATGAGACAGGGCTTTTAAAGAAACAACCGTTTTATATGGTGATGAGTTTGGTCCCGAGTTCGTACTTCCTCATGGGTCTGTTTAAAGTGTACATGTGCAATGAGGCGAGCTTCTCGGCTTGGCTTGTACGGTGGACTCGTTCAAGGACGAGTGATGAGTGTGGGTTTTGGCGTAGAAAACTCGTCCAAGACTAGCCGAGTTTTCTCGGCAAGTTTTAAAAGCTCGCCGGGCGCTCGTCACTTCTACGAGCCTTTTTTCACAATCGCACGAGCTTTCTGCACTCGTCAGCATCTCCCTCATGCTGTGTCAAAGTTATTTTCATGTTTGTCAATGTCTGTTCTTATTATCACAATAAGACCTGGTATATTCTGCTGGTATAAGGCTATGAACCGAGCTTTCCTTGTGCTCGGCCGAGCATTTTCAAATGCTAGGCCGAGCTAAAAAAACCCTGTCAAACATGACGAGTGACGAGTACGGTTCTTGGTTGTAAAAGCTCGTCCGAGCAGAACTCGGCTCGTTAAAAAGCTCGCTCGCACGAGCTTGACTTGACCTGTGATGAGGCGGGTTTTGTTCGGCTCGTTCCAATGCACACGTATAGTTCAAACAAAGGAAACAACAACCCATGGGACAACGCTGATGGAAAGAGTGAGAAGGAGGAGTAATCAAGTTACATACACAATATTTAGCCTTTTCTTGCTTGCTTTGATTTTTTTGGTGACCAAAGTTCTCGAACAATAAAACTTCTGACACACAGATGATGAGAGCCGATCCATTGTTCCTTAGTTCCCTGCACCACCCCAACTTTCTATCCTACCCTGCCTGCCCCCGTGCTTCCCTCTCCTCCCACACCCTCTGCCTCTAGTGCAAGCCCTGCTGGACTTCCAGCAGGCATTTGGGCAAATTTTCTCTGGATGGACGGCTGGTGGGAACTGCAGCTCTGCCAAGGATGTCTCGTGCGATCCCCAAGGCATGGTGACCAGCATGTGAGTGACCAGCAAATCTCTCGTGGATTTTCTAAAGGGAGAATCTGGATTCACAAGGCATGGTGACCGGCATAAGCGTGCACCAGAGTAGTCTGAAATTTTCATCAGCGCCATGGGGAGTCTCAGCCATATGTGAGTTGTGGGGATCTGGTATTTGTGGGAGCATGCACAGATAATTATGGGCATTAGAACTGTAGGATTTACACATAAGATCCCTCGTGGGATTGCATGCAGGGCTTTCAGGTACTATCTTGCTAAAATGAAGCGACAACGTAAAAAGCAGAACAGAAACTTTGTTCAATTTGATTCTGCTTGGTTGCGGACCCCCATCTTATTGTAATGTACAAAAAATAAGTGTGTTTTATGGTGCTGTACAGTACTTGTACGATTGTCTTTATTGCTTTTTTATATCAGCCCGTTTCCCATTGTTCCTTCTGCTTTCACACGTTACTATCATTATCCCATACTATCCGTGTCAGGGTTATACTTGGCAATAGCCTAAGGGGATCAATTCCATCTACTGTTGGAAGCTTGAGGAGCTTGACACGTTTGTATGTAGCTAGATAAATTTCAAGGACCCGTATGGACTCACATTATACTAT